CAGAGGGGAAAGAACTTGTTTAAAGATGAAATTTGTACCTCCTCTGGAACAGAAGTTCTTAACCTGGGGCCCATGAACTGATTGCGTCTTTATTTTTACTAACCTTTGTCTGTCTGTGTAATCCTGTATATTTTATTTTGTGTAATTAAAAAAACATTCTGATAAGGGATCCATAGGCTTCTCCAGATGTCCAAAGTAGGCTATAACACAAAAAAAGCCAGCCTGGAGCAGTAGAAGTAGTTCCTGCTTTAGCTGCCTTATATAACTCCTTTAGAGAGCTGGCTGCCATGAGAATTCATCTTTACGGCACCAGCAACAGAAGAGAAAAGGGAAATTCTCCCTGTGGGAGGAGAACTATCTACTAAGTCACACACCCTAGGCTGATTTTCCCCTAAAAAGGCAATGAAATCATCCTTAATTGGTCCAGAATACTAAGTCTTGAGTTGTTGGTATAGCTTCCAAGTCACATCCTAAGACATAAAAAGTTCAGTGCAGAAGGAAATGGGGCTTCTCAGACTTGATGGACTCCCTGTTGCTGTGCAGTCAGAATACCTTTCTGACTGGGCACCATGGCAAATGAGAAGATACAAGGATCTGTTTTGCTCTTAAACCAAAGCTGTACCTTTCCTGATATATTTTCTGTGCTTCTACTGTAAACTTATTCTTGTTAAATTTCATTTAAAAAGATGAAACTCCTTATGATTTGTTTTTTGCCTTGCCAATTCACATAGATGCACCACTAAAGGGAAGGCTCTTCTTAACTTTCTACTTCCTGAGACATCTTGTCTTTCTTTTCAGGGCTTGAGACCCAGGAAGATCAAGTTGTTCTTCCTTTGCTGATTATAATAGAAAACTGTAGTCCTAGTGACATAAGTAATAGAAAGTTCTTAGAAATCGGCTTAGAAAGTTCTTAGAAATAAATGTTAAAAACTAGTTGATCCTCAGGAATGAAGGTATCTATCATTAGATTACAACTTGCATTCTGTTCTCATGTGCTGAATTTTATGTTTTCCTGTGTATTTGTCACATTTTGCAATTAAGAAGTAAAGCCATTGAGCAATATGTGACATCCTTCAAAAAAAACCTTTATTGTTTCATTATCCTGATAGAGGCAGAATGGCAAAATAGAGTGCTGAAGTTAGAGTCAGGAGGATCTTGATCCAAATCTCATCCCAGGTACCACCAATAACTGTGTGACCTTGAACAAGTCACCTACATTCTCTTGAGCTTCTCTGGCTTCCTTCAAGTCCCAACTAAAATCCAGTCTTTTACAGGAACCCTTTACCAACCCCTCTTAATTTTAGTGTTTTCCCTCTTTTAATCATTTCTTATTTATATTGTGTATTGTACATTTATATTGTATTTTTGCATGCTTGTTGTCTCTCATTAGATTGTAAGCCTCTTGAGAGCAAGGGCTATTTCCCCCTCTTCATTTATATCTCCAGAGCTTAGCACAGTGTCTGGCACATGATAGCCACTTAAGAAATGTTTATTGACTGACTGACAGTGACATTGAAATATCCTGGTGTTTTCTTTGTCTGTGTGGCAGTGATTGGGCAAAATAATTAAATATATCATCCCAGTATTTGAGAAACTATGATGTAGAATGACATATCATTAGTTTTTAAACTTTAAAAAATTTTTAAATTACTTATTGTTAAAAGAATTTTCATGTGCTTGTATTTTTTATTCTTTTTTTTATACAAAAGTCACCTGATTTTTGTCCATAGAGAAGCTGTTAGAATCTCAAGACATCAGGAACCAGTTCTTGTTTATTTCATTGATTCACTGTACAATCTTGAACCAGACACTTAACTTTTCAACGTCTCTGTTTCTCCATCTGTAGAGTCTAATTGATCTCATTTTGTGGTATAATTAGTTGTTTTTAAAAAGCCTAAATTACTTCCGATAAACCGGGCTTGAAATTAGTCCTAGGTTCGTTGAAGTGGGACATTAACCTTAACCTGGAGGAATGACAGGCCTCTTCATTTTTTTTTCTAGATAATAGCTTTAATTCTCCACTTTTTTGGTTTGTTTTTATGAGAGGAAAAGCAACGAATATATTGGTCTTCATTTTACCCTGCCACTTAATAGTATTTTATTTTTTCCAATTACACATAAAGATAGTTTTCAACATTCACTTTTATAAGATTTTGAGTTCCAAATTTTTTTCTTCCTCTCTTCCCTCACCATCTGCAAGATGGTGAGCAATCTGATACAGGCTATACATGTACAATTGTATTAGACATATTTCTACATTAGTCATATTGTGAAAGAAGAATTAGAACAAAAGGGGAAAACCACAAGAAAAAAAAAAAGAGAAAATAGAATGCTTTGATCTGCATTCAGATTCCATAGTTCTTTCTCTGGATGTGGATAGCATTTTCCATCATGAGTCTTTTGGAATTGTCTTAGATCATTATATTGCTGAGAAGAGCTAAGTCTATCAAAGTTGGTCATCATACCGTGTTGTTGTGTACAATGTACTGTGTACAATGTTCTGGTTCTGCTCACTTGACTCAGCATCAGTCCATATAAGTCTTTCCAAGTTTTTCTGAAATCTGCCTGCTCATCATTTCTTAAAGCATTACATTCATATATATACCACAGCTGGTTCAGCCATTCCTCAATTGATGGGTATCCCCTCCCTCTTCAATTTTAAGAATCATTCTTTTAAAAACACCAGTGCAACTGCCAACCACTAACCCATTCCTTTTCTATTTGTTTAGCCATTCCACAACTGAATGGCATCTGCTTTGTTTCCAGTTCCTTGCTACTACAAAAAGTTTTGCTATAAATATTTTGGTGTATATGAGATCTTTCTGTGACCTTCTTGCTATATGTGCCTAGCAATGGGATCATTGAATCAAAGGATATAGATATTAGAGTTAATTTTTTTTAGCATAATTCCGGTTGATTTCCAGATGGTTTGGACCAATTCACAGGTAGGAGGCTATTGTGATAGCCTAGGTGAGAGAAGTTATGAGGACCTGAACTGGTTAATTTAAGGACTCTCTTTTGTAGCCGTTCCCTATGTCATCTTGACTAGAAGTCCCCATTTTTCAACTTTGCACCAATTTTCCAGTCACCTAAAATGTGGCCAGGAAGATAATTGGAAGATCTGGGGATTTTGTATATGTAGAACATCTGGATTTATAGGAGACATTGGGCAGGCTGTCATGGTATCCTTATGGACCCTATCTACTAGGAGATGTGTAGTAGTTTTAGCATGTTGTTCTGCCCTTGACCCATTCCTCCCCAGAATTTTTATCTATCACTTGGATGACTATATAGATGGCATAATTAACAAATTTGTAGCTGATTGAAATCTAGAAAGGGTTAAGTAATGCTTTGGGTGACAAAATTCCAAAAAGATTCTGGTATTTTGGGATGATAGACTAAAGTAAAAAGATATGAAATATTAGAGGCATAAATGTAAAGTCTTGAACTTAGTTCCAGTATAATTTTATGATTTAATTTTTTTGTATGAAAAAATTTGAGTTTTAATTGGCTAAAATCTTTGTTGGAGTTATTAGTGTGATGTGATTTGAAAAAAAAAACACCAAAAAACCCAAATGTAATCTTAGGTTGCATGAATAAGAATGTACTGTAGTGGCCAGAACAACAGTGGTTACAGCCCTATAACACTCCGTGCTGTGCAGTGTCATATTATGTCTCAGGTGCCACATTTTCTAAAGGACGCTAACAAGGATGTTGGGTGATCAGGATTATTGTGACCATTTTATGCCATGGAAAGCAAGGAATCATTAAAGAAATTGCAGATTTTAACCTGGAAATGAGAAGACCTTAATGAGGACATGCTAGCTATGAGTACTTATTTGAAGGGCTATTACGAGGAAGAGGGATTACATTTATTTTCTGTGGCTTTTTAGAGGATAAAACTAGAACTAATGGATGCAAATTACAAGGGAATAAAGTTGAACTTGCTATAAGGAAAAAATTCCTACTAATGCTATCCAAAAATAAAATGGGTTACCTCATACAATAGTGAGTTCTACATCAATGGAGTTCAGACCAAGACTGAATGACCAGTTGTCAGGGGTGTTATAGAGGGTACTCATGCAACTGGTATGTAGGTAGACTAGATGATTTATGGTCTGTTACAACTCTTGTGATTTTGTGATTCCATGCTTATGAATGGCAGGACAGGTAAGGTCTCTCTGGAACCTGGGAATTGTAGGGAAAACTCTGAACCTGTAGAAATTATCTAGGCTTCTGTCTCTGGCACTAAAAAAGAACAGCGTTATCTGAAACATTTGTGACTTCCTGTTGATACCTTTGAACTTGAATAGGTTTGAAGAGTAGCAACAGCAGCCAAATACCTAGGTAAGCTAGTCTTTCTTAAAAAAAATTGATAACTTCCATGAAAAAAGTTACATTTTATTTTTTTATTTTTATTTACTTTTTTTTAGGCAATTGGGGTTAAGTGACTTGCCCAGGGTCACACAGCTAGTAAGTGTCAAGTGTTTGGTCTGAGGCTGGATTTGAACTCAGGTCCTCCTGACTTCAGGGCCGGTGCTCTATCCACTGCACCACCTAGCTGCTCCAAAAAGTTATGTTTTAATAATATCAAAGTCTTTATTTTTTTTTTGTCCCCTTCTATTTCTTAAGGAGAAAAAAATCATTTAAAAAAAGTCTGTGTCAGGCTCCCATCCACAGTTCATTTGATAGGATTTTGCTTCCTTGATTTTTTTAACCTATCCCTTACTATTATTTTTAAAGTGTCCTTTTTGCCAATGTGCAATATTAGTCATAGGACTGGTAATGGAGAGGCAGCTAGGTGGTGCAGTGGATAGAGTACTGGCCCTGGAGTCATAAGGACCAGAGTTCAAATCTGGCCTCAGACACGAGCTGTGTGACTCTGGGCAAGTCACTTAACCTCAAATGCCATCCCCCCCCCCAAAAAAAAGACTGGTAATAGTTTACATCCTAATCCTATTGATAAGGAAATGCTTGATATTTTTTCTTTCTTCTTGAAGGTAGTTGGAGGCAAAGTAAAGAAACCAGGTAAACGTGGTCGGAAGCCAGCCAAAATTGACTTGAAGGCAAAGCTTGAGAGAAGCCGGCAGAGTGCAAGAGAATGTAGGGCCAGAAAGAAGCTGAGATATCAATATCTGGAAGAATTGGTGTCTAGTCGGGAGAGAGCAATCTGTGGTCTCAGAGAAGAACTGGAAATGGTAAGGCATTTCTATTTTGTTCATTTTAGTTTTATTTCTAATCCAATGACTGTCTCCATTCACTTAGCAAAAGAGCAACAAATTTAATTTATGACAGAGAAGAAGATTTGTTAGATACTATATAGTATAGATTAGTGCTGTCATACTTAAATAGAAATGGATTCCTGTGGCTTCCTATCAACTTAGAAAACCACAAATTAACATTACCTGTGTTTTATTGTATTTTCATTTTTTCCCAATTACATTTTAATCTGGTTTGGCCCACACTAGAAAGTTTTGCAAGCTATAAGGTTGACTCTGGTGTAGCCTTACTAGCCAGACATCCTCTGGGGTATAATAATTTGTGGGGAGGCAGAGTAATAGTACTTCATGTTTAGGTAGCCCTTTGTTTATTGGAACTTTTCTTTGTAACAATTTTGTGAGGTTGGTAGTGGAAGAGGTAAATAATGTAGCTTGGTTGAAGTACTGGATTTGTATAGGGATCCCAAAAATGGCTTATTCAAGTAGAGAGAATATAAGGTTAGTTGATTGTGAATGCCAAGCTGAGGAACTTGAACTTAATATATAGGGTGAATCACTATACTGGCATATTAATGTCCTACTGAAAATTGTATGTCGGGAACATTTTTGTAGGCGCATTTTATAGTTTCTCTTTATCCTGCATGCATTTATTGATTACAGAACACCTTGTGAGATACTTGTGAGGTAGAAAGAAAAATAAATAAGAAATAGTCCTTGCTCTTGAGACCCTTATAGTATAGCCTAGGGGAGATAAGACCCTAAGCTATAATGCAAAAAAATAGATGGTGAGTATATGAACAAAACGTTGAGGGTAGAAATCTCTGGAAGACAGGTCAAGGAGAGATATTTAAGAATCATTATCTCCTTGAAAACTATGACAAGAAAAAAAGAAAGGCTTGGACACTCTGTTTCAAGAAATCATAAATAGCGGCAGCTAGATGGCGCAGTGGATAGAGCACTGGCCCCGAAGTCAGGAGGGCCTAAGTTCAAATCTGGTCTCAGACCAAACACTTGACATTTACTAGCTATGTGACCCTGGGCAAGTCACTTAACCCGAATTGCCTAAAAATTTAAAAAAAAAAGAAAAAAAAAAAAGAAATCATAAATAACCTCCCAGCTTTATTAGAGCCAGAGGGTGAAGTGAAGAGGGGAAGAATCCGCCAATCACCTTCTAAAAGGAACTTCCAAAGGAAAAATTCAGGAATGTCATAGCCAAATCCAGACTTCTCAGGTCAAAGAAAAAAAATAGTACAAGTATCCAGAAAGAAGCAGTTCAAGCACCAAACGGTCTATAGTCGGGACCTCACAAGACCTGGCGCAACTACTTAAATTGAGAGGAAATTTTTGTATACAATATTCCTGATGTCAAAAGAGATAGACTTCCAACCAAGAATAACTTACCCTGAAAAACTGAGTACAGTTCTATGGGGGTGGGGGGGGGTGTTGGGGGGGAAGAGGCAGGAGGGAATAGATTTTTAATGGAATAGAACACTTTAAAGAATTTCTGATGAAAAAAAACAGATAGGAGTAGGAATATAGTTTGAAATATAAACACGAGTCCAAAGAAATCTAGAAAATTACATTTATTTGCATAATTAAAAAGAAATGTAATGCTAATGTTCAAATAAGGGGAAAAGGAACAAGTGTTCATTTAGAACCTTAATGTTTTTGAAGGCTACTAATGGAGTTAAATAAGAAAAATAAAGTTCCTGAGACTAGTTTGGTTCCATTCTGAGAGTTTGAAGAAGGGGAAGAGAAAGGATAGATGTGTAGAATGGAGGAAGAAGGAGTGAAACTTGCCTAGAATCAGTTACCTAAGTGGCAGAATGGGGATTTTCTTACATTTATATAATAGTGCTTTAATGTTTACAAAATGCTTTGCAAAATTTAATTTGATCCACATGGTAATCTTTTGTGGTAGGTATGCTATGTTATTTCCATTTTTTAAATGAGGGAACTGAAGCAGAGAGAGGTTAAATGAGTTGCTCTGGGTCACACAGCTAGTAGCTGCCTGAGACTGGATTCTAATCCATGTTTTACAGACTCTTAAATCCAGCTTTCTTTACTACAGTTCAGAGGTGTCAAACTCACAGGCAAAACTCCCAAGTGCTTGAATCAGATTAAAATGTAATTGGGAAATGTTTAACAAAATAAATAAAAATAAAACATGGATAATGTTAACTTGTGGTTTTCTAAATTAGTATGTGTTCTGCAGAGATCGATTACTTACTGATTTTGATACCACTGCTTCGAATACCACACTGCTTTGGCTTATGGACTTAAACATATAAATATATGTAAATGTTTGTGGTTGGCATAAAAACCTCCCTATTGATTCTCAATACATTTTGCTTTCTTCAGAACTTTTGTTAGGCAAAGTGTTGCCAGGTCTCTTTTACCTGTGGAGGAAAGGGGATTAGTCCTGTGGGAAATACTGTGCCCCATTCCTCTCAATATTATAGAAAGAAGATTCACCTCCCTGACTGTAGGAGAGGCTGGGACTCTATAAAGGTAGACATATGCTCCAAAGATATGTGATCTCATTGATTCATGAGTTCCCTCTAATGATGCAGAGCACAACACATCCTTACATGCCCATCTTGTGTAAGTCTTATCCATGTCCTCCCAAAAGTTCTCCCTAGGGGTCCACCCAATGTCTCGGAGGCTTTCCTTGCTTTCTTTTGCTATTGTGAGGGTACCACAGGAACCCTTCGACCGTCCACCTGTCATTCTCCATTCTTGCTACATAACCAGTCAATCTTTTCTTTCTGTCACGTAATTCCTTAATGATTTCTTTTACTCTTGTTTTTCTCCTGAGTTGTTTGTTGGTTATATATTGCAGACCATTCACACTCCTTTGCCTTCTCTATGATATTCATTTGAGTTCTCAATTTTCAACCTTCTTGACTTCCCTGCAGTTTTTGACACTCAATCACAGTTTTCTCCTTTATACTCTCTTTTCTCATGGTTTTGGTGACACTGCCCTCTCCTAGTTCTCCTGTCTGATCTTTCCTTCTCTGTCACACTTGCTAACCATAGGTCCCTCCCAAGGCTCTGTCCTGGATCTTATTTTCTTTTGTCCCTATGATATTTCACTCAGTGATCTCATCAACTTCCATGATTTCAATGATCATCTTTGTGTACATGACTCTTAGATCTGCTTGTCTATCTCCAGTTTCTCTCTCTGACTGTTGTTTTGCCTCCCCTTAACTCTTCACTGTCTTTCACCCCGCCCTCCATATCCAATCTATGTCAAGTACTGTTATTACTACTTAAAAAAATCAGTTTTATTTTCTTTTCAGTTCTGAATTCTCTCCCCTCCATCTACTTCTCCCCCACCCACTAAGAAAGCAAGAAAAATGAAACCTGTTACAAACATGTATAATCAAGCGAAATAAATTTCTGTATCAGCCAAGTTGGGGTAAAATGTACTTCAGTCTGCACCGAGTCCCACACCTCTCTTTCTCTGGGAATGGATAGCATGTTTTATCATGAGTCGTCTGGAACTGGTCCCATTGTATTTAGCAGAGTTCCTATGTTGCAAAGTTGTTTGTCTTTACAATGTTATTGTTGCTATATAAATTGTTCTGATTCTGCTCACTTCACTTTATATCAGTTCATACAAGTCTTCTCAGGTTTCTCTAAAACCATCCCCTTCGTCATTTCTTACAGCACAATAGCATTCCATCACATATGTATATGTAACTTGTTCAGCCATTCCCCAACTGATAGCCAGTTCTTCAGTTTCCAGTTCTTTGCTATCATGAAAAGAACTGCCATTGCTATTTATACTTCTTATACTTAGCCATTACTGTATATACTTTTTTTCTCTTCTCTGACGCAGCCATTACACTTATACAGGTCCTTGTCACTTCATTCCTGGACTATTGCAGTAGCCTGCTGGTTGGTCTCCCTTCTTTATCTTTCTCCCCTTCCAATCCATCCTCCACTCAGCTGTCAAATTGATCTTCCTAAAATACAGGTCTGATCATATCCCCTCCCTACCCCCACTCATTAAAATCCAATGGTTCCCTATTACTTCTCAGATCAAATACAAAGCCTTTTATAATCTGGTTCCCCCTAGTCACACTGGCCTCTTTGCTAGTCCTTGAACTCCATATTCTGAGTTTTTTCCTCTGGCTTTCCCCCACGTGTTTGTACTTTCTCTTTCCTTATCTCCAGCTCCTAGCTTCCTTAGCCTCCTTCAAGTCTCAGTTTAAGTTCCACCTTCTACATTAGGCCTTTCCCAGTCCATTTTAATCTTAGTGCTTTTATCTTTGACCTTAAATATAACTTTGAACCTCTTTTCTGTGCTTTTATTTACCCATTTGTAGTATAGTTACTGGTTTTATGTGTGGGACCCCTGCTCTTCTCCATGTAAGCTTCATAATGGCAAGGATTGTGTCATAATTTCTTGGTATATTTCCCATTTGGTTTCATTTCTCTGCACATAGAAAGTGCATGATAAATGTTTTGTGAATACGAGTTGACTGAATTTTACTTAAATATATTGTACATTATTTCAGTACAAGCAGTGGTGCATGGCAATGGATCAAGGAAAAATTCCCTCCGAAATAAAAGCTCTCCTAACTGGAGAGGAGCAGAGCAAATCTCAGCAGAACTCAAGCAGACATACCAAGGCTGTAAAAACAGAAGCTAATAACAATTCCTGTGAGTATATAGTGTTTGTTAAATTGATAATTGTTGAAGTGTTTTATGGTAGGTGTTTTATTTGTAGTCTGTCTCTCCCCAAACCAAAAGTTTAGATTAAAATGAAATTTTTATGTCATTTGTCATGATGAGCAAATGAAATGGCATGACTGTCTAAATATTAAAACGTGTTTTACCTGAGTGTTTAAAGAGCACCTGATACTCCTTATGGGGAAGCTTTTTAGTAGAAACCGTTGTCTTGTAGATAGGGGGTTTATGTCATTTTAGATATCTTCAGTGTGCTGCTTTGTCATATTGAAATTGTCTTCATTCCACCAGTTGCTGTAGGAGCTCTTGGATTAATAAAGGAAGAACATTATAAATAATCAATCTTTCACATTCCTTTTTTTAATCTGAAATTTTATTTTTATATGAAAAAAATTGGTTTTTCAATGACTGTTATTGATTAGGGAACATCTTAATTACAAATTAAATTGAAGAACAGTAAGTCAACCTACTACTCTTTGAATATATTTTTTAAAAATCATACAAACTTGGCCTTGGATTCAGGAGGACCTGAGTTCAGGTCCGGCCTCAGACACATAACACTTACTAGCTGTGTGACCCTGGGCAAATCACTTAACCCCATTGCCTAGCCAAAAAAAAAAAATCATACAAACTGTTTTGCATGTAGATGTTTAATTGAGGCAGAAAAGCAGATTATCACAAGTTTAAAGTTTGTTTTGCAATTCCTTTGGTATTAAAGTTTTTTTTCCCCCAGGGTGAAGATTGTTTCCATTTAAACTCATGAATCATTTGCTGAATTGAACATCCAGAATCACATGAAGAGTGGACAAGACTGGGCTTTGGAATTTAATTTGCTATCTACAGTTCAGTGGTCTGAACAACGTGCAGTTGTTGACCAAAATCTGTGATTGTACATGTTGAAGGCCTTGCTTTAACCTTCAACAACAGGAAAATTCAGAATATTCAGTCCTCTTTCATTTGATGTTGATAGCTACAGTAGATTTGCACATGATGTGATGCTTGGAAAAACCCATGTGGCATGGAGGACAGTAAGTTAAAAGACAGTAGTTTTGCACCTTAGCTCCATATGTTCTTTTCATTTAATTGTGTGTGTTGGTGTCACTTCATTTACTTTGTTTTTTGTATAGTCTTATTCAGAGAAACCAAATAGGCTGTTTGCTAAATTATAAGTTTTCAGCCTTTAAAATGGACCTGAACTTCTTTTATCAAATTTACTTGAGTGATTTGTAATATATATTTCCTGCAGGAACCACAGATTTGTTCTGTGCATCATTCCAGCATAAATTGTGCATATGTATTAACAATTATATGCATTTCTATTTTTGTAATCCATGATGATCTTTCTGTTATATTGTACCTATAGGGACAATCCATGTGAAAAGCTATTTGGGGAAGCTTCTCTTGGAAACTCTTGTAGCTGTTCTCCCCAACTGTATTTATAAACTATTGAAATTTCCCCATCTATATTAGCAAGTAAATTAATCAAATTTTAAAATTACTTTTCAGGTATTCAGATGCAGTGAACATTTTGTTATTGCTGAATATAGAGAGAAAGATATATATATATATAAAGAGAATGTAGACAGGTATATATAAACAGAGATATTCAAACACTTTTTTGTACACTCAACAAGCTTGGGAGACTGTTGTAGAGAAAATAGTTTAAAATTAGCTGCTGGTCCTTCGAGATCTTGTTTCTGCCTCAAGATCTGTAATAAAGTGATATACAGATTGCTTATAGCTCTAATGGCTGCCACAGTAATCAAAATACCAAGCTTCTCTCCTGACTTGAGACTAAAAGACATTGGGCCTGATTTGTGCTTCATTCTGAGAAAGGTACAATAGAAGGGTTGTATTTCTGTTCTTGTTCAAGCCAGATAGATACCTACCAGAGAGGAACTTATATCTTGTGTGTCCAAGACAAAACCAGAGCAAATGAGTACTTTGGTCCCATCCACCCCACAGCTTGGGGGAGCAGAGAGCAATTCTTCCACTGACCTTTGCCATTCATATCCAAGCCTACATTTGCACAAAGGTTTATTTTCCCCAAAAGAGGATTTGGTATAGTATGAGGAATCAGGCTTATGACAAAGTATAAAAATCTTTGAAAAATGTACTTGGTTTAAACAAATACGAGTAAGTACTAGACACAACTTAATATTTTTACTCCTGCTTCTGTGATGAGGTCCTTTATCATTGTCTCTTTCTTAGATAATTAGAAGTTGTGATCTCTTGCTACTAAACCAAAATTATATGTAATTGGTCCACTATTCCCTATCGATTGGCTTTTTCACCAAATGTCTGTTGTGAAATGTTATTTTAGGGAAGATAACATCTTTCTTTGAAAGGTGATGTGGACCATGATGGGGAGCACACAAGTGAATATATATCCTTCTTAGACTGTAAGGTATCCCCTCATCTGGCCTGAGAGCCTAACAACCTGGTATTCTTTGGAGTGCAAACTCAGGTTTGCCCCTTTGGTGTTATGTGACCACCAGTAGTAGACTGCTAGCTCAGCCTTCCCCTTTCCCCCTAATTTTTGTGTTTAGGAGCAATAAAGGGATGAAGAATATTTAATGTCTTAGAAACTGGATATGTTTTTGTTGTTTTTGGTTACTTGATCATACATGTTTTCCAAAATATCCTAAGACTTCGTTTACATTGTTTCTGGACCATTTTGAATACCGTCTAGGTAGTTATTGTAAATGTAAATATTCCAAAATGAAAATGGTTGTTCAATGGAATGTGCCTGTTATGCTTGAAATATTTCCTCCCTGGTAGTAATTCTGTATCATGTGGGGTCATTTGAGCTTTTGTTATAATATCTTTACAAGAGTTGATAATTTTACCCTCATGTAGAGGATATGGAATTGATATGAGTAAATTACAGTTTGTTGTGCTTATTTTATTCCCAGGACTTTCACTTTGGTCTTTGTGGACAAACAGATAAAACCAAGAGAAGGTGCCTTGGCTTTAAAAAGAAATGTTTTGAGTACTTTGGAGATTGTGCTGTCAGTGTATTTTGGTTACTTTAAAGCATGGTAATAAATGTCATTGATTAAAAGAACTGGAGCACTTCCTGTCCCATTTCAGTTAAAGAGCTTTTTTTGTTTACAGAAGTTCTAGCATTGCTCGTGTGGTTGAACAGCAAAAAGCAGAGAGAGAACACAAGATGATGAAAGAATCATTAGTTCTGAAATATTGCATGCTATGACACACATTGGATGAATAGCTACATTGGCACTTTTCTTTCCTATTTAAGAAAGATCTGAGGAAAAAATGTATTTTTACCAGGCTTTGGATTCTCAGTTAATTTCCTATAAAACTGCTGTACATCAAATCTATAGAGTATGATATTAAATGAGTTCTAAAAAGTGAAGCTTAGAATTGAGTCTAGTTGGCTAAAATATATCTTTCCATGGTATTTTATGCATAATCCCTATTTTATTGTAACAAAGTTATATCATTGTTCACCAACTTACTGATAGTATTTACCAGTGCCATCTTTAGCAACTGATCATCTTTCAATTATGATAGACCTGATTTGGCTTATTATAAGGGAGAATGTCTGGAATTTTAAGTGCAATAAAGGCAAAATGTTGTAAATAACATAATTGGTTCACAAGAAATCAGTTAGACATACGTATATTGCTTAAAAAGAAATATGACTTTTAAACCACATGGTATTTCTGGGACATTGAAGGAATTTTTATTTCTCTAAAGAGAATTGTACATTTATATTTTTTATTAAAAATAAAAAAGAGGTCTCAATTGCATGCTTCAAATTACTAAACTATTTCTGCTTAAATGTTTCTTTTGATAATATACATTATGTGGGTAGCTAAGTGGAGCAGTGGATTGAGTGCCAGGCCCGGATGCAGGAAGACTCATCTTCCTGAGTTCAAATCTAGCCTCAGACACTTACTAGCGGTGTGGCCCTGGGCAAGCCACTTCACTCTGTTTGCCTCAGTTCCTCATCTGTAAAATGAGCTGGAGAAGGAGATGGCAAATCACTCTAGTATCTTTGCCAAGAAAACCCCATATAATGTCATGAAGAGTCAGACTTGCCTGAATAACAGAAATTATGTGACTGGCTTGAGAGTTAAATTTACAGAAGCACAGAATTTTAGAATTGGAAGAGACCTTAGCTGCCATCCAGTCCAACCTGTATGTAAACAGAATTCTCCTTATAACATATTCCATAAATGGATATTCCACAGCCTTTTCTTGAAGACCTCCAAAGAGGGAAAACTTGATAACTCTTGGGATAGCTCATGATGCTTTTGAAGAGTTTTAGGTGTAGGGAAGTTTTCCTTTTCATTTAGCCTAAATTTACCTCATATGACTTGTACCTATTTTCCTGGTTCTATCCTCTGGGGCTAACAGAATAAATCTGATTCCCCCCTCTACATGACAACCTTTCAAATACATGGAGACAGCTCTTGTGTCCTCTGGAGTCTTCTCCAGGCTAAAAATAACCATTTCCTTCAACTAATCTTCATTTGGATTCATGGATTCAAGGCCCTTCACCATTTTGGTTGCCCTCCTCTGGACGTTTCCATTCCAGGAACCAGTTCCTTCCCTATTGATAAGAATCTCATCTAAAATAGAATTTCTCCTTGTTTGCTCATCTGTTATTTGAAGGATGAAGTTGTCACTAGAACAAATCAGAAAGTTATTAGCTATTATGCTTTTGGCAGAGAAAAAAAAATAGACATATCTGGATAATTGAAGCCTCCTTTGCCAGGCTTTTGACTGGTGTCTCAAACTTCTCTCTTTCTTCTTTCAGTCCAAGTGGTGTGCAGATTACCATGATAAAATCACTTCCATTTCTTCCTTTGTTGACCTTCACTCAAATAGTCTCCATCATTCTCCCTTTTTGCCCTCCCTCTATCCCTGCTCCTATTTTTGGAGTTCCTCACATGAATTTGCCTTCTTAATATATTGTATCTGTTATATTTCTTTTGAAATATAACATAGCTCATCTAGAGCCATGGTCCAGTCATGGGTTTCATCCTGCCAAGACTCAGTGATACCTATTAGATCAAATTTGCCTACTTAGATTAGAACTCCTAGTTCTTTTTGTTTGTTGCTTGAACTTTGAGCATTTGTGTGTAGATGTTTGAATGTATGGGCTTTATTTATTCAGCTCATTTCTTGGATTTTGTCTCTTGGGCACTTCTGGGGAGCTCAACTGCTATTTTCCCTTTGTAACTATTCCCTATGGTATCTAAACTAAGAAACAAACATGGGCAGTCTTCTCTCTCCTCTACCCTTTTTTAGTTTAAAGTCTTTTTGATGAGACTTGTAAGTTATGGAGCAGTTACATTCTAAAGCAGTCTTCATTAGGTTATACAATCTCTGACCAGGAATGTCAACCCTATATTTTAAGCTGTGGGCCAGAAATTCAAATCCTGTTCTCAGACACCAGATTTTTAGCCAGTTTACTCCTCAGATCAGTTTTTCTTTTCTGCATCCCTTGCCTTCAGTGGGCAAGAGAGGGTGGAACAACGCTATGATTTCAGTCTCTCACTCAAGACTTCATAATCATTACTAATACTTTTTCAGTTCTTTCTAGCAGTATCATTTATACCTGCATTAATCACAGGAAGTGAGTGTTTGTCATCTGATTTTAGTCTCAAAGGGTTCTTTGTTATCTCTTGGATACATAATACTACATGAAGACAACAGACCTCTATTCTTGTTAACAGGTCAAGGAATAGCTGCCACAGTATCCCTTGCAGGGGTGGGAAACCTTCAGCCTTGAGGCCGCATGTGGCTCTCTAAGTCCTTAAGTGCAGCCCTTTGACTGAATCCAAACTTCATAGAACAAATTCCTTTAATAAAAGGATTTGTTCTATAAAACTTGGACTCAGTCAAAAGGTGGCACCCAAAGACCTAGAAGGCCACATGTGGTCTTGAGTCTACAGGTGCCCCACCTCTGCTAGGGAATCCCCAATTACTATTACTGCTACTCTTATATTATTTTTCTGCCTCTGACTGGATGATCTCAACTGATGGCTTCTGAAGTCCATTGTGTCATTCTTTGGTGGACCAGCCGCTTTCATCAGAGAATCCAGCTCCTTTTTTCAAGATGACCCTCAAAATCTGTTTTTAAACTCTTAATTTTATAGCTGTCCCTTTCCTTTCCTTTCCCTTCTATATGACACTTTCACTCTCTGTGATCCTAAAAAAAAGTCAAATCTCCCCTCTTACACCTCAGAACCACCCCTTTCCCATTGAAACCTCATTGTAATTTCCTTTAGGAACAACCTAGAATACAGAAAGGTATTCTTCCAGTCCCTTTAACTGATCTCCCTCTTAAAACAGATAAAGTCACTTGGTTCTCACAGAAATAGAAGCATCACACATTTAATGCCAGTCATTGCACAGTTCCTTCTATTTTCCCTATTGATTGTGATTTTTCTACCTTTTAAAAAAAATTTTAATTACTCGTGGATGTTTATATCTCAACCTTAAGCACAGATGGACCTTTTTTAAGTCAGCCATTATCAGTACAAATCTCTACTGAGTTTGCTAAATAGAATCTTAAAATTGGAAGAGACCTCAGAAGTCATGTAGTCTGACCCATAATAAACAAAAATCCTAAAATGTCCCTAACAAGTGGTCTTCCAGTCTTTGTGTGAAGATGTTTACTTTTTTTTTTTTAAGGTATAAAGGTACCACATACCAAGGATGGTAATGAATAGCCCTTTTTTGGTTGAGAACATCTTTAAACCACAAAATCTTAAATAAGCAATGCCTCTACTTCCTATACCTCATCCCTTAAGATATATTTCATACCTCTTTCTCCCTAGAGATGATTATTGGTTTCCTCACATTGACCCTAAATCAACATTTTTTTAGCAAAGTAAATATGGAAGTTCCTTCCTATATGTATATTCAAAATCATGAACCCTAATTCTTAAAACAAAAAACAAAGAACTGAACACCTTGGTTTCATTTGTTTTCCATTTGTAGTATAGCTCACTTCTGGTTTCTGTGCTTATATAAAATCACTACTTATTTTTAGTAACACAGCTGTCTACCGCAAACTTCAGTCAAGAGTTACTCAAGTAATGTATTTCCTTTGTTTTCAGTATTTTACAGGTATGAATTTTCAAGCTGTTTCCACAATATGCGCAGAGATTTCGTCTCCACAGGAAAAGAGGTCTCCCATAGGAATAGTTGGAAACACCAAAATACAAAAATGGTAGAAAATAAACAAAACACGGTTGTTGGGTTTTTTAAATCACCAATCCCTCTCAGTTATATGAGAGAGTATCCTTAAAAAGCCTTAAACCCTAGAGTGTGTTTCTAAATCCTGTTTTCAGTATTATTTCTCCTTTAATGCCTCTCTGAGAGAGAAAAAGTTATTTAGTGGTGAGCGGTGAATAAAAGCAACACGAATACCTACCCATTATTTAGGTTACTGGTCTCCCTTTTTCCTACCATCTTGAATCACAGGAAGTTCCCTAAAGGCAGAACAAGGTGGAAGTAATACTTCTGTATAGTACCATATATTTGTATGAGTCTAAATCTTTACACATGCTTTATATAATTTTATTCTCATGACAACCCTGAAATAGATAAGGTTGGTGTTAACCTCATTTTTAACAAATAAGGAAACTGAGATCTAGAAAGGTTGATTTGCCCAATAGACTTTGAACCTAAATTGGCTAATTCCCAAGTCTAGTTTTCTGTTACACCATGTTGCCCTTCTAAGTCATAGCAGAATATGGGCTAAAAAAAGAAGTTGCCAGTTGAACCTAGGTTTGGAAGTTAGAGTTAAGGTCATATCTTTGTAGAGCAAAATGAACCCTTTAGTGTAGAAGAAACAAAACTAATCGATAGAGTCATCTGTGGGATATTTTAACATCTGAACTGAACTCACCATTGTATTTCAACTTACAGTAAAAAATGATGTTGGCTGAGACTGAACCAAGAGCTGAGTTCCTTTCATATGAGACACACACACACACACACACACACACACACACAAAACTATTCCTTTTTCTCCCTAAATCCTGGCCCTCCCCCATATACCTAGTGATTTTCAACATTTAATTACCCCCCTTGGTAAAAACAGAAG